CTATGCACTGAAAGGTTACTGGTTAGATTCCCAGTCAGGGCAATGTTTTGCTCTCATGTGGATGTCTCTCTCCCTCTTCCTTCCTCTTTCTCTAAAAAAGTCAATAAAAATATTTTTAAAAAGATTGGCTTTTGATTCAAGGAACTCAACAGAAGAATAGAACATAACTGTCCTTACTTTGAAAGGACCAAGGCTTGAAACATCTTTTGGAAAGGATTATGGTTGATTTGGTATACTTGTTTATTTGCCTAAGAACACTAAAATTTTGGCTCCAGAGGCCCATGTAACTAAAAAGAAGAAGAAGAAAGAAAGATATTCTCAGGTGAGGATTAACCAAAATAATAAATGAATAAATAAATAAATTCTAGCTTCAAGGCCAAAAAAAAAAAGAAAGAGGTCCGTATAGTGGATAATGAGGTCTTATGGACAACATGGTGTTAAATGATTTTAAGAAAGTAAAAGGCTGACTTCTGGATTTTTTCTCACTTGCTTGTAGAACTAGCATGGTATTTAAGTTTGTCTCTCCTCCATGCTATTTGAAAATTTCTTGCAAAATACAAGCACCATCCTGAGTACTCATGAGTTTCTACTGATGATTAATTAATGGAGGCAAATGTCTAGATATTTTTTTCTCCATGTTGAGTCAGTGTGTCTTGTCATATGGTATTTTAGAAATTGTATATGTTGTTTTGTGAAGTTAAATGAAAAGACCCCAATTGCATCTATTTTCTAACCCTTGAACAAAGACAGAATACTTTATGTATACCAAGAGGAACTTAATAAATGAGTATATTACAAATAAAATTTTGGTCTCATTCATAAACTATTAGATTTAGATGGACTTTAGTTAAAATAATACTGGAATTACTGGAATAAAACACATCATGGCATGCTGAAAAGGGCTGCATTAGAGAAATGAATGATGTGCAGGAGAGACTGTAAGGGAGGATATTACCGAAGCATACAGGATATAACCCAATATCACTAGACATACAAACCACCAGGAAATCCTATCTCACATGGGAAAGGCCAACCAATAGACACCCATGCTGAGATGACATAGATGTTGAAATTATCTGACAAATACTTTAAAGCACTGATTATAAAAATGCTACAATAAATTAGCAGAAATGTTTTTTTAAAAATTAAAAATAATTTTTTTCAATTACAATTTACTTTCAATATTTTTTATTATTACTTTCAGTTGTACAGCATAGTAGTTAGACAATTATGGGAATGCTTTTGAAATGAAAGATGGAACGTCTCAGCAAAGGCATAGAAAACATACAGGAGAGCCTAATGGAAACTTAGAACTGAAAAAAGTACAGTAACCAAAATAAAAACAGACTTGTTGACAGAGAAAGTGCCAGTGAAGTTAATTCGATCATCAGGATTTTTTCAGTCTAAATTGCAGAATTAAAAGAGGTTGGGGGGTAGAAATGAATAGTGCTCAGCATATGTGGGAAATTAACAGATCATCTCAATCCTGGAAGGAGAGGAGAAAGAGCAGAATAGGGGAAAAATTCTGAAGAAATTCTAGATGAAAAAATACCCAAATTTGGTTAAAGACATAAATATGCGGACTCAAGAAGCTCAGTTAACTCCAACATGATAACCTCATACAATTCCACACCAGATACTTCATAATCAAACTGCTAAAAAATAAAGACAAATCTTGAAAGTCATCAGAAGTGATGCATTGTTTGTAGGGGAGCAATAATTTGAATGACTATATATTTCTCATCAGAAACATGGAGACAGAAGAAAGTAGAGAACACATTCATGTAACTTTTATTACAGTACTAGAGGCCTGGTGCACGAATCTGTGCATGGCTGGGGTCCTGCGGCCTGGCCTGCGCCCTCTTGCAATAAGGGACCCCTCGGGGGATGTGGGATAGCCAGTTTCAGTTTGATCCCTGCAGGCCCGATCAAGACAGGAGGGAACCCTATCCTGTGCGTTGAGCTTCTGTCCCCTGGTGATCAGTGTGCATCATAGCGACTGATTGATCGGTTGGTCGTTCTGTCATTTGGTCACTTAGGCTTTTATATATATAGATTTTGTTATAGTTGTTCTATTTTATTATTGTTGCTATTAATCTCTTGCTGTGCCTAATTTATAAATGAAACTTTATCAATGGTATGTATATATACCAAGAAACAGTATATATAGGGTTTGGTATATCTATGGTTTAAGGCATCCACTGGACGTCTTGGAACATATACCCAGATAAGAGGGAGGGGAGAAGACTGCATTGGCAGTTGTGCACAATACCTTGACCACTTAAAAGTTATCATGCATGGGGATAAGATATTAACTGAAAAATGTGGACTTACTAGTTAATACTTACAGCTTTTAATACCAACCTGTAGACTTCAAGGCTTGTTCCAGTTTGAGGTTTCTCTCTGTTAAATCACACTGAGCTATGTGACACTCAGATGCTGTATATAAATGAAGAGTTATACAGTTTCAGTTAGAGAGTACATATTTAAAATATTTTTTTGGTGGGGGATGTATCCTAATGGTTTCATTATCAAAATATTTTATCATATGCCACAAGTGTCCTTTTAGGAAGATTTTTAAAAGCTAGAAGATAGTGTGAAAATGAAAACTTAGGGTTTAACATTAGTCATCAAGTTGACAGGTCAGGTAGGATTTAATGTTAATTCCAGTATTTTTCCAATTTATCCTTAGGTCTTTTCAGGGGAGAGAACAAAGACTAGATTCTTGTGTTAGAGTTTTTATGATTCTGGGAAGTAACATGATTTCATAGTTCTCACCAGTGCTTTTGTTTTATCTTAACCTATAAAAATTTCTAAGACGTGCTGTATTAATAGAATCACAGATTAAGAATTCTAAAGGCGTCTATTTTTTGTTTTGATTTCATCATTAACCTCAAGGAAGATGTTAAAGACGTTGCTTTGAGAAGCAATGAGGATTAATCATGTTATGTTTGGAAAGAGTTTTGTGCTTCTTGAAAAAAAAAGAATTTTAAGTGTTATATAAATTTTTTCTCTTTCTATTAGTTGGGCAATAAATTGAAGAGGTTCAGTTTATTTGAACCCTGTTACTATAGCTACATTCTTTTTCATTTTGGCCTTTCAAATGTATGGCAAATATATAGTCATTGCTGTTATTTATTTATTTTTTTTATGAAAACCTTAAGTACATTAACATTCCCAGTTTAGATTGTCAGGGTGTGTTTGTGGAATTCTTAATAAAAATCACATAGGATGCTTCAACCTATATCTAATGGACAAACCAAGATACAAACAGTCTTCAGTAGAAGGTATCCATATTAATTTTAAAGGAATTCAGGAGTGGAAACAGGATTATTTATTACTCAAGATGAATATTCCATTGTTACACATAACTACTGCATATTTGGTAAAACTTTGAAATTTGAAAAGAAACCTTAGTGGGACAAAGTTGAGAGAGATTATATATCCAAATCTGAAATATTAAACCTCAAGGGACAGTTTGAAGTTAGAATTGGGTTATGTTTTGTGTAGACAAAAGGAATCTTATTCAATTACCACTAAATATATGTTACCATAACAACAAAAACAGTTACCCTGTGATTTATTGGGATTTACTTATAACCAGGTACTCTACATAACTTTATATATACTAACTCATTTAATCATCATCAAAATCCCATCTTTACTATTCCTATATAATAAAAAAATTAATCATAATTTTTTTTGTGTGTGTGAGGCATTTGAAAATCTGTCTGAATTTTTGCTAGGACATGACACAGTCCAAATTTCTCTAAACATCTTACCTAATAATAGACAAACATGTAAATTGACCATCCCTTTGCTACATTCACCAGCCAATCAGGAGAGTATGCAAATTAACCCAACAAAGATGGCGGCTAATTTGCATATGTAGGCGCGAAACGGTGGCGGAGTGAAGACTGAAGGCTCCGGCCTGGGTCCCGGGTGCCGGAGAAAACCACTGCCGGCATCCAGGGGAAGGGAAGGCCTATTGCACGAATCTCTTTGTGCAACGGGCCTCTAGTTTACTATAATATTCTTGATAGGTGGGAGGTAGTTAGTAATAAGAGTATTACTAACTTGTGATGATATTATTTTAAATGGTCTGTCCTCCCCAACTATGCTTGCAAGAATCATTAACTATTTCCAGATCAATGTTTTTTTAAGGCATGTTGTCTGGAGTTGCCCATGTGAGAAGCAGCTGGGTCAAATGTTAATCAAACTAACTTTGATTTGGGATTTTTGTTTAAAATTAAAATTTCCCCCTTCATTCATGACATAATACCATGCACTGTCTCCTTGACTGGCAGCAATTTAGCTATTTCTTAGTATGTCAGACCTGTCTACTGTAGAGTAAGACTGCACATCTTTTGGGAGAGTGCATTGAGGGTTTACAACAGTGAATATCACTATGTCATATAGCTTATGTTTTAAAAATCAGATCATGTCAAATAAGCCTTCCAAATTTGAAGAGAATCCATTTGGCATTTTCACTTGTGGTAATGGTTAAGTGGTAGGAACTTGTATTAAATTAAATTAAGAGGAATGCCAAGGGGAATGCTGTACTTAACCAGGACACTAGGTGGCACAGTGAGCTGCACACAGGAAATAGAGCCTAGAGAAGATCTGCCTGGGAGATGGGATCTTATCAGAATCTGTAAGACTCCTTATAAACGTGGACAGGTTGAATCGACGAGTTGAATGGCTATTACATCCAGTTACTCCCATTCAAATGTATTCTAGAATTTCTTATTTCTGTTGCTTATACATGTCCTGGTTAGCTACCCACAAAGTGTAAAATAGATAGACTTATTGATTTGGGGGTTGAAAGAGTCAAGGACATCTCAATGTGTAGTCCAAGTCACTCCACTTAGCTCAAAGTTAACACCTTCCTCTTCTTGTTCAGTATGTATGAACAGCAGGCAAGGATAGGTTTCAGTATACTAGGACTTTGTTCCATATTATATTTGAAACTTATTTCTTTTTTAAATTTTGTACCTCAGAAAGAATTTCACAACACATTTGCATAGTTATGGACACCAAAGAAGATGAAGAACATGTAGGTCATCATCTTGAAGAAATGCTAAAAAATGAGTTAAATGTAAGTATTCAAATATCGAATTTAATGATTAAAGAGGTGAATGTACATTTCTTGTTTTTTGAACTGATCAACTTCCTAGTTAAGCTCATAGCTCATATTACAACTGAGAAAATGGGAGAAGTAGGTAATAAGTGTGAGGTGGTCTATAGGAATTATTTGCAACTTCTACCAGGAAGGGCTTTCATTATATATTTTTATGACAACATTGTGTGTAAAATGTTTTGTTTGCCAAACTGAAATTATTCAATTTTAATTTCCCTGTTTTCATTAAAATGTATCACCAGCAATCAGAGCTTATGATGTACATATAATGACTTTTTAAACAACTTCTAGGATAGAATTGTAAAGAGCTGAAGGAAAAAGTTCACTTCACTTAGCTAATTTTATCCTGATGGCACAGTCGGAAAGAGAACGGGCTCTCTTATCAGACTGCCTGTGCTCAGCTGTCAGCTTTATTACCTAATTTCTCTGTCTTAAGTCAAAAATGTTAATAATATCTACACGGCAAATTGTTGGAAGTATTAAATAAAATAAACAGAATTAAAGTGCTTAGAAATGCCTCTGGCTTATGGTGAGTTTTCAGTGAATGTGAACTATAATAATGAAGCTTTCGCGGATGAGTTGAAAAGAGGTGTGGCAATATTAAGTAGCAGATACTACTGATTCCCAAGCTTCCGTCCTGTACTAGATGCATGAATTGTTAGAAATTTAGATTCCTGGAATATGTAAAACTTTAATGAACCGTAGTCTGGGATAAGCTCTGGAACCTTAAGTTTTTAACAAGCTCTCTCAGCTGGTTTGATAGCAAGCAGTGCCAGATTCTACCAGTAGCATTGAGAGTGACAACCCAAAGCTGAGACAGTAATAGACATCTTAGCTGTCTCAGGCATACAGGCCATACTACAATCTCCTGTGTTGCTTTTATCTGATGACTTTCTGGGAATTTCCCTTCACCCTTGAAAATTTGAGCACCTGTTCTCTGCTTTCTGTCTCAACTCTACCTGTTAAGAATCTGTTCTAAGTTCGGTGCCTCAGTTTCCCTGCTGTACCTTGCAGGATATTTAACGGTAGATAACTGGCCACCACTGCCTGACCCACTGAAGCACCCTTTTGCCTCAAAAAATGGTCTATTACTCTTGAATAATCTCATTCATTCTTTATCCAGTTAATGCAACAACCAGCAATATGGGGCCCTGAAAGAATATTATTGGGACTGTGCCTATCAACCAACCCTAAATTTCGAGAGCTGTGTGTGTGTGTGTGTATGTGTGTGTGTGTGTGTGTGTGTGTGTTTTAAGTTTTTTAAAATTGATTTTTAGAGTGAGAAAGGGAGAGAGAAACATTTGATGTGAGAGACATTGATCAGCTGCCTCCTGCACACTCCCCACCTGGGATGAAGGCTGCAACCTGGGTATGTGCCCTGACCAGAAATCCAACCAGCAACCTTTTGGTGCACGGGACGATGCCAAACGAACTGAGCCACACCAGCCAGTGCTAAAGAGCTGGGTTTTTATATAACTGTCAAACACCTAGCTGGTGGATTCTGTGTCACTCTTTCCTTGATTGGTCTTTCTAGTATTAGACTCTGCAAGGAATCTTTTGGTTAGAATTATTACAGTATTCACTTTTTGTTGCTACTTATCCTGTATATGTTTAGTGACAAAATGACATGGGATTTAGGGGTACACACTGCACCTTGCTGGCCTTCTGTGATGTATTCATTACCCTGTCCTTCTCCTTCTCCTTCCAGTGACTTTATTTCAGTGCACTTCACCTACCTACCTGTTGGGCCCAGTCTGGGTATTGCCATCATCTTAACTGTACTAAAAACTAAATACTAAGGCTATTTCTCAACTTCTGACCATTACATGCTGTCATTTCATATCATTTACTAAATTATCCTACTGCAAATATTTCAAATTTATAGGGAACTCCAGGCTGCCTGTCTTTTTTCTTTCTTTCAGCTACGTTTTGTTTTATACTGTCCCTTATTTAGCTTAGATTCCATGCTCCATCACTTCTGTGGACCATGGCTCTCTTACCAATATCTTCATTTACCTTGTTCTTTGAATGCACCCATTCGGTAAAATCCCATCCAGGTATTAGTCAAACTTTTCAGTTCTTTTCACTTTTACACTTAATCTTAATGATGTTTGGGAGAATCATACAACAGTGCAGATTGTTGCCATTAAAATGCACTGGTCACCATTCTTTAGTGGGCACTGACGGTTTTAAAGCAACCGTGATTCATAGTCAGCTCCCCACTCTCCTCAGTGAATATTTGAAACCCCTCAAGTGCTACTGGGTTAGATGATTTTATTGTGAGGCCCTGTCCTGTTTAGCAGCATCCCTGGCCTCTACCCCAGAGATGCTACGGACTATAATGCTAGAGACAAAATTATTGGCATTTATTAAGGTTTTCTTTCTCCCTCCTTGATGACTACCTTTATGTTAATGTTGTTATGAAATACCATTGTATTTTGTTTATTAACCTTAACATTTTGGCTATTATGTCTAATGCTTCTCTGTCCAGGCAACTCTGACATTAAATAGTTTCTTCTTTCTCCTACCTTCTCCCTTTCAGTTTCTAATTTGAATTGATGTTTTTAAACTCCCAGTTAGTACCTGTAAAACAATAGCAAGCTTTTATCACATTTTATATCCTCTCCTATTTGCATGTGGTTATATACTGTACCATATCTCTCAAAACCATTATTTATTCTTAGATCCATAAGTAAATATATATTTAATGCTCACCATGAAGCCTTATGTTGATATCTTGCGAACCGTTTTGGTTCTCCAAAACAAATCCTCCCATAGATTTCCTCAGAAGGGCTCTCGGATACATTATTCCCGTTAGTGCATATGAACAGAATTTTTCTGTGACTGAAAATCCATAAATTTATTTTGGTTAGATGAAAAAACATTCTGGCTTCAAAAAATTATTTCTGAACTTAAGTATACCTCTCCATTGTCTTTATCATAGTCCTCCTTGCACTATTTTTATGGCAGAATCCGCAAAGATTTTAAGACTAAATACTGTATTTCCAGAATCTTCTTCCCCTTTATTCAGTATCTATCCTGTGCTTAGTATTTTTAATTTTTAAGCACTTAAGTTTCTTTCTTCCTTAATTTCAAGTATCTAATTTAGCTATAACTACAGATAACAGCTATTTTTAAAGTTAGGCTTGACTTGAACTTAGAGATTTTATTTGTATAATAAACAAAGCCAAGATGTATACAGATGCTCAAAAGAAAGGAATACTACTGTTTCTCAAGTACCGCTTAGTTGTAATACCAGCCTTTGAGGAGATGCATTCGATTCTTTTTTAAACTAGAAGATACTGTAGAACTTGTAAAAATGAATTTTGTGTGTCCTGTTAATTAGATGATCTTGGTTGACCTTGGAAGGAGATATCATCCATTTCTTTTAAATATGCCCTAGCTTCTAGATTTCCTAAAACTTGTTAAACAACACAGGACTTGCCAGAATGTTTTCTTGCAGGCAGCAACTCTAATAGTCATGGAGTATCTTCTGTGTGCCAGAGACAGTGCCACATGGCTCAATCCTTAAAAATAGCTTATGACTTTCCCCCTCATTTTACAAATAAAAATAGGGAATTTTTGTAGTTTAGTGATTTGCCTAAGATCACATAACTAATGAATGTTGGCGCTAGTTGATTCCTTATAGTTTCTACTACTTAATACTCTTCTAAGCAATGGTGATATAAAAGAAAGTTAGATTTTTCTTTTTAACGTTATACTCTAGAAAGAAGTCCCTTTAGGAAAGAAATTTCTAGTTTATATAAATTTTCTCTTTCCCTATAAGGGCAACTTTATCTTCTGGCATTATTCAGCACATAACTTACAGACAAACATCAAATGCCTCTTCAAACATTTTAACCTCCCAGAGCTTTTGTTTCACTTGAAAAGAACATATAAAAAGGATGAAGTCACCACCATTGAAATCCAGGCACCTGTAGGGAAGATCAGTGTGGGTGGAGCTGCTCAGCACACAATGGGAGGATTGTTTTATTGGCATGAAAAGAAAAATGTTTCTCATTGAAACTGGGTATGCTTTGCTTGATTTTAAGATTATACCTTAGAGGTGAACTGAATATCTAAACTCTAATGTAATGATACACACAACATACATGGAAGAAGTTGTTAAAAAGTAAAACAAGGAACTAACTGGGTAAGGGACACCCCTCCACCCTTCATACACATGCACATCTCTTAAATTTCAAACTCATACTTACATTTCAAGGCTTTATTATCAGGCTTGTTATATTCCTTCTTTGAATTCTTAAGGAATTTGAAGTATTTCACAGAACCTACCTACTTTGGAGATAGAGGTCTCAGAGATACCTCATGAAGAAACTGCTCTCACTTCTTCTTAAGAAGATACTTTATGCTATACATGGTACTGAGAGTAGTAAGGAATTCATAAGTAGAAAGATGGTGATCATATTTTTTAGTTCATTAATTCACTAATTTATTTATCAAATAATAAATGTACATCAAGATTTAGTCATTGGATATAGGGAGCAAGTATGGTTCTCTGTCTTCAAGGAACATATTGTTAATTTGGGGATAAAACAGTAAAATACAAGAATATTTTAAATTACAAACGGTGGTAATTATTCTTAAAAAAGAGTAAACTGCCTATGTAAGAGAGCTCTGGAAAATCATTTAAAGTTGGGAGTGGAGGGTAGTGAGCTAGAATCTCTTGGCAGGTGTGCCATTTAGTTAAGTCTGAAAGGGTAATCAGGAATAGCTGTCTAAAGAGAAATTCACATGGAATGGCATGTGAAAGGCACGTAAAGACTTTCATTCACGGTGGCTTAAATAAGATTTCTTCGGTTGGAATGATATGATCAGAATGGAGGTGGAGGGATGGGAGACGAGGATAGAGATGGGATCATGCCTAGATGTAGCCTTGCAGTCATATTAAGTGGATTAAGGCTACTACCACCATTGTTAGTAATACTACTGTGCTT